GCCGGGTTCCAGAGCCCGGGCTCTCGAGCCCCCTCTCCCACCATGCCGGGTTCCAGAGCCCGGGCTCTGAGCCCCTCTCCCCACCCCAGGTTTCAGAGCCCGGGCTCCAGCTGCAGCGTCTGCACAGCTATTATAGCGTGAGCCACGTGAACTCGTGAGTCAGTTGAGCTGGACTTGGAGACTGGCTGCTGCGGGTCAGTTTTTGCTGCCTGTACCTGTTGTTTTCTAATTCTGCTGGGCGTGTCTCCAGCCGGGCGTGTCTCCAGCCAGGCGTGCAAAAATGGAGGCATCGGACACGTCGGAAAGCCTGGGCCTCTGCCACATGCCCCAGGTCCCAGAGCGCTAGCCATGCAACCCCCATGATCTAGCTCAGGGGTAGGCAACCTATGGCATGCGTGCAGGAGCGCCGCCAGCTTTTTTGCCGCCCTAGGCGGTGGAAGGTCCCGCCTCCGAAATGCCGCCCCCCCACAGAGGCGGTGGAAGGTCCCGCCCCCGAAATACCGACAATGACCGGGGTGGCCGAAGATCCGGCCGCCGCGGTCGCCACCCTCAAAATGTTAATGCCGTAGGCGACCACCTAGGTCGCCTAATGGGTTGCGCCGGCCCTGCATGCGTGCCGAAGGCAGCACGCGAGCTGATTTTCAGTGGCACTCACACTGCCCGGGTCCTGGCCACCGGTCCGGGGGGGGGGCTCTGCGTTTTAATTTAATTTTAAATGAAGCTTCTTAAACATTTTAAAAACCTTATTTACTTTACATACAACGATAGTTTAATGATATATTATAGACTTAGAGAAAGAGACCTTCTAAAAACATTACAATGTATGACTGGCACGCAGAACCTTAAATTAGAGTGAATAAATGAAGACTCGGCACATCACTTCTGAAAGGTTGCCAACCCCTGACTAGCTTATCTGGCCTGGTGGTTTAACCAGAAGAGCATCCTTCCTCCCCTTCGAACGGGAGAAGGTGCTGGCCATCAGCAGAACACTTCAGTTTAGTGCAAATAGAGAAAATCTCAGGTTGAATGTCTGAATATCCTCCCCCCCCCCCAGAAAAGAATTATTATATTTTATTTTGACACAGAAAAAATAAAAAGGATGCCAGTCAAAGACTCTACCAAGCAGCAGGCCCACAATCCCGCACTGACATGCCCATGTATCCCAAACTTGCCTACAGTGGGGTTTCCTGCAACTTCATCTGGGGCATCTGGTACCAGCCATCACTGGAGACAGGACCCTGGACTAGATGGACTAATGGGCCAATCCAATACAGCAATTCCGATGGCCTATAAAGCTAGATGAAACAGACAATCCATCTCTCTGTTAGATGCCTAAGCCCACCGAGTGAGGATGGAGACAAGAATATTCAGGAAAAAGAGCAAAATACCCAGGCTGGCCCAACCACAGTCCGAGTGGAGTTCTGGCTGGTGGCTGCATTGCTGGGGCCAGGAAACACATATAGGGGCATTGCTCTTGGAAGCTTAAATAACCAGCACCCTCCCTTTTCTCTGCATGTACTCAGATTGACTATTACACAGAATCATAGAAATGTAGGGTTGGAGAGGTTAGTCCAGTCCCCCCACCTGTACTGAGGCCAACCCTGACAAGTCTTTGTGTAACCTGTTCTGAAAACCCTCCAATGATGGGGAAGTCACAACCTCCCTTGGAAGCCTGTCCCAGTATTTAACTAATATTATAGGGGGGAGGGATAGCTCAGTGGTTTGAGCATTGGCCTGCTAAACCCAGGGTTGTGAGTTCAATCCTTGAGGGGGCCACTTAGGGATCTGGGGCAAAAACAGTACTTGGTCCTGCTAGTGAAGGCAGGGGGCTGGACTTGGTGACCTTTCAAGGTCCCTTCTAGGACATAGGATATCTCCATTTATTTATTTAAAAAGATTTTCCTAATATCTAACCCCAAATCTTCCTTGTTGCAGATTGAGCCCATAACTTCTTGTCCTACCTTCAGTGGACATGGAGCACAATTCATCACTGTCCTCTTTATAACACCCCTTAACATATTTGAAGACTGTTATCTGGGTCCCCCATGTTCTTTTCTCAAGACAAAACAGACCCAGGTTTTTTCAGCCTTTCCTCAGAGGTCACATTTTCTAAACCTTTTATCATTATTGCTTTCCTCTGGACTCTAGCCAGTTTGTCCACATCTTTCTTAAAGTGTGCTGCCCAGGACTGGACACCATACTTCAGCTGAGGCCTCACAGATATCAAGCAGAGCAGGACAATTATCTCCTGTGTCTGACGGACAGCATCCCTGTTAATACACCCCAGAATTAGACTAGTTTTTTGGGGGTTTTTGCAACTGCGTCACATTGTTGACTCATGTTCAGTTGGTGATCCACTATATGCCCCAGATCCTTTTCAGCAGTTCTACCACCTGGCCAGTTATTTCCCATTTTGTAATTGTGCATTTAATTTTTCTTTCCTATGTGAAGTGCTTTGCACTTGTCTTTATTGACTTTCATCTTGTTGATTTCAGACCAATTCTCCATTTCGTCAAGGTCATTTTGAATTCTTATCCTACCCTCCAAAGTGCTTATGTAACCACACACCTCCTGGGTGTGGTGCTCTGTCCCATCTAATGGCACTGAGACCACGTAGAGAGAGAGATTAATGAGTCTGCTCTATAGTCTTAGCTCAGAGCCAGTTGACTTTTAGCTCATTCTGTAGAGGCTCGTGCACTAAGCTCCAAAGATCCCCAGTTTGGTTCTGCCTGCCGACAACCAGGGTCTGTGGGCGTTACACTTGCAACCCTGCCTGGTTTGGTGTCAACCACAAATTTTATAAGCATGCTCTCCAGCCCATTATCCAAGTCATTAATGAAAATATTGCATAGTACCAGACCCAGGACAGACGCTTGTGGGGCCCCGCTAGATAGGTTCCCCTGTCTGACAGCAAACCACTGATAACTACTCCTTGAGTACAGTCTTTCTACCTGATAGTAATTTCATCTAGACCACATTTCCCTACTTTGCTTATGAGAATGTCATGTGGAACTGTGTCAAAAGTCTTACTAAAATCAAGATCTATCACATGTACTGCCTCCCCTTAGCCACTAGGCCAGTAACTCCATCTGAGAAGGAAACTGGGCTGGGTTGGCATGATTTCTTCTTGACAAATCCATGCTGGCTATTCCTTATCACCCTATTATCATCCAAGTGCTTACAAATGGATAGTTTAATAATTCATTCCTATGTCATTCCAGGTATCAAAGTTAGGCTAACTGGTCTATAGTAGGGTTACCATTCGTCCGGATTTACCCGGACATG